GTTCTGCTGTGCATGGGGTCGCTATGAGTCGGTTCCAATTCGATGGCACCTGACAACAACAACAACAACAATGGCAGCAAACAGCTATGTGAAAAGGTTGTTTCTGAAATTTGTACTCTCAAAAAAAGCATTCAAGATATTGTTGTTATTGTTTTCCTTCTAAAGAATCAGTGATGTCTAAGCCGACTACCCTTTCTTACATTCTTAATTGTCTAATGCTACAAGTTTCAGGAGGATTAGGTCATGAAAATATACCCTTCAGATAATAGAGTATAAATTGCCACACCTTTTCTATAATTCTTTTACTTACAGGTTTAAGGCATATGTTCCTTTTTTGAAATTTAGAAAGAGATTATGGAATTTATTTTATATAGAACCCTAATTCTGAGTGGTATTTCTATGGCTTTAGCCATTCCTGGTTATTAAATTAAATCATTCTTTCAACCTTTCCTGTAGGGATTTTTTTTCTGCTATTTGCGTTTTCTTGATATTTTGTTAAGTTTCTTGTTGTATATATATATATATTCTGGAACAAAATTATATGAAAAATTATGTGGTTTAAAAATTTCATAAATAAAACATATCATTGTATAACTAGGTGTATATGAGACCGTTGTTGTTAGTTGTCATCCAATCAACTTCAACTCATGGTGACACTATTTACTTGTACATCAGAACAAAATAATGTCTGGTCTGTACGTCTTCATGATTTTTGGCATGCTTGAGTTTATTGTTGTCTTCCAGCCTAGGGGCTCTTCTTCCAACACTATATCAGACAATCTTCTGTTGTGATTCAGAGGGTTTCCACTGGCTAGTTTTCAGAAGTAGAGCCCCCAGTCTTTATTCCTAGTCTGCCTTTGTTTTGAAGCTTTGTTAAAACCTGTTTACCATCATTTACTCTGCTGGTATTTGAAATACTGGTAACAAAAGTGTCAGCATCATAGCAACACACAAGTTATTTTAATATGACAGAATGATAGATGGATGGTGGATATATAGTGACAAATGTCTTAAAAAGGAAGGATTACTAAATTTTTCGTGACTTTTTAGTAAAAGTTTGCTGTTGTTGCTAATTGCAGTCAAATTTCTGAGGAACATAAACCCTATACAAGGTCATTATGTGTCAGAACCCACTTAACAACAACAAAGTTTATCAAAGAAGTGCAATGATTGTTCGTCTACTAACTCAAAGGTTTGCAGTTCAAACTCACTAAATACTCTGCAGGAAAAGAGACCTAGTGATCTGTTTCCCAAAAGATTATAGCTCAGGAAAGCCTACGAGGCAGTTCTAACCTTTGTTATAGAGTTGCTATACATAAGAATCTACTCAATGGCACAGAACAACCATAAGGCCTACCATGGCCTTGACTCAATCTATCTATATGACAAAAGCAGGCAAGATTTTAGTAGTGGCCTCAATTCTCTTCTATGAACTTGCTCTGCCAACTTGGAATCTTCACAGTGGAAGATATGGTGTGGCACTATAGGATAATTACTGGACCACAAGCTTGATTTGAACCACAATGTGGGCAGTTCAAATTCACCAGATGCTCCTCAAAAACCCTATATAGGATCACTGTGAGTCAGAAGGACCTGATGGCACTTAACAACAACAACATTATGGCTCCTGCTGCACCTCATTTTGAAAACAAGGAAACAGAAACATAGGTTAAGTCACTTGCCTAAGTGACATCACATGCATACATGCATGTGTCTCCAAATATTGTTTTTCCGATGTGCCTGTCCATTCACTACCATGTACTCTCTGGTCACGTTTTCATTTTTATTAGCTTTGCTAACACTTTTCTGCTACCTTATTGCTTTCTCTTTGGATCATGTTTCCATTGATTTACAACCTTCCCATTCTTTGATTTCTCCAACAATATGCTTCCTTTCAATTAACAGCAAGATCCAAAAGGGATATCATGTTGTAATGGAAGAAGACTCAGCTTGGAATTGAGGCTGTCTGGATAAAATATTATCTCATTCTATTTTATTAATAAGCACCATACAGAGTATTTACTGACTTACTGTTTATTAGTCATGCTTGATTTATTAGTCTTCGGAATTCTGAATATTCATCTACTTTTTAAGTGGGAATACTCCCTACAGTCTGTTTGTTGTTACCTTCATGATTAAAAGGGTTGACACATAAGAAAATTCTAACATAGACCTTGGTACACTGTAGGTTTTGTCAAAGAGTGGATGGATAAGGAGGTAGGTGTGGGGGATTATTTTAGAAATTAAGCTCTTCCAACACAAATGTATTTTTAAAATGTGAACTGTCATATAAAATTTAAATGATTAAAAAGGTAGTTCCAGAACATCAATAAGCCTTGATCTGTGAAATTAAAAAATATTAATTTTCTGATTCCAGAGAATAAAAATTAAGGCTTAAAATGTGTTCTTTGTTTTTTCAATCTAGACCACTAAGCTATGGCGATGGTGGTGGTGGTGTTTATGTTCCATGGAGTCGCTTCCAACTCATAGCAACCCTGAATAGGGTTTCTCAGGCTGCAAATCGTCGGTGGTGGTAGTGGTTATGTGCTGTGGAGTAGGTTTTGACTCACTGAGACCCTGTGGAGGGTTTCCGATGCTGTAAATCATTACAGACGTGGGAAGACACATCTTTTTTTTTTCCGTAGAAACGGCTAGTAGGTTCAAACTGCTGACCTTAAGGTCAGCAGCCCAACTCGTTATCACTAGGCTACTGTAGGATCCTAAAATGAACTTCTGTTTCCAAAGAGCATCCTTCCCCTTCCCCTTAAGTCTACCTCCATCACTGTCTAGACCAGTACCTGCTATTAGTAATGTGGTTCCAGCAACAAAGCAGAGGCGGGCTTTGATGTAGGGCTCATCAGGGAGGAATTTTATACAGTCAAGACCAAGGAGCAGAGTGACGAATCCAAACCCAGCGAGAATATCTGCAGTAATCATTAATGCCCGTGTAACCACCAGCTTCACTGGAAAATTGGAGTTTATGGTTATGACATAGAGGAAGGAAACAGGTTAATCCACAGAAATACATGAGCAGACAACTGCATGCATTTACACAGGCTTATTCCTGGAAGTCAGACTTTAAATTTGCATGAACAGGGAAATGAGTTTTTCATAAACTTTAAAAACATTTGTTTAAAATACACAAACATACATACAAACACAAACATTACATTCAAATCAATTCTTACTTATTGTGACTACGTAGGACAGAGTACAACTCCCCCATAGGGTTTCCAAGACTATAATCTTTACAGAAGCATACTGCTATATCCTTCTCTCATGGAGCGGCTGGTGGGCTCAAATTGCTGACCTTTCAGTTAGAAGCCTAGCACTTAACCACTCTGCCACCAGGCCTGATTCTTACTTAGTTTTGTTGCCATTCTAGAAGAGCGCCTGGCACATAACAGAAACTAAATAAGTGTTTTCTTTTTTTTGCCTTCCATTCTTGAATGAATCTTGTTCACAAAAAGCTGGATGCTGAATTGAAGGTGTAATAACTGTTCTGCAGAATGTACCCAATAAATACTGAATGAATGATTTAATAAATGATCACTGTACTCATTTGAAGCTTTATGGAAGAAAAATTTTAAAAACTCATCAAAATTTGGTACTGAGGAGTATGAGAAAATATTTCAAGACCTCTTACCAATTCAGTCTGATGGGAATCATTGTATCTTTATCAAAAATATTTAAAGGAGACACTTTCTCGAAGTCAGTTCATATCCCCTTTCAGTCCTTCAGATCAGGACTCTTCTTGGCCAAGATTCCAACCTTGCTTTGGCAATTGAGCATATTTTAAGGCTATAACCAGTAAGAATGTGTGGTAATATTAGGTAAATAGAAATGGAATATATCAGTAGTCTTTTTGCAATAGAAGATGCATCTTTGACTGTAAAAGTCTCCTGACCTGTGTGTCACACTTAAAATTGTTGTTGTTGTTAAGTGCCATTCCATCAGTTCTGGTTCATAGTGACCCTGTATAGGGTTTCCAAAGAGTGGCTAGTGAGTTTGAAATTCTGTCCTTGTGTTTCAAACAGACCTTACAGTCCAGTGCTTTATGCCACAGTGCCACACCAGGACTTCAATCTTTACATGAACAGACAACCTCATCTTTCTCTCAAGGAACAGCCAGTGGCTTTGAACCACTTTGTGGTTAGCAGCCCAACACCTATGCACAATGCCACTAGGGTTCCTTAAGTAAAATTAAAATGGAGAAATTATATCTACAACCAAGGGTTAATTAACTCATCAGAATTACTACTATGTTAGCTGGATGTTATAGGAGTAATAACATTTTTGTTTTTGTGGTCCAATATTGAGTTATGTTTTATCTTCTTAGTGATTTGAATTTACTTTTTTAAAATCAGTTTTTCCTCAGAATGTGACCTTAGGACCTGTTCACTAAAAAGTTGCTTGGAAAAACATATTCAATTTTCCATATTTAAAATAAAACACTTTAAGCTGCATCTAAGAAAGAGGAAAGTAATACGTATTATTAGTGTTTAGCTTATTAGTGGTGAAATATAATATAAATTTTTTATAATATATTTACATGTGACTATATAATGATGCAGAATGGAATTTGTCAGATTTCAAAAGTTGGAATTATTTTTTAAGTAACTCAAATATTCTAAAATAAGGCCCAGTTTCTCAAATTTGAAGGAAGGGTAAAAATATATATATGACTCATAAGGTTGTATCAGTTTTTATATTTCAGGGGATCCTCTTGATCCCTCAAATGATATGCACAGTATTGATCTTAAGTTTAGGCAATATGGTTTCCTGCCCAAGGCCTCACATCTCAGGAATGCTCATACTTTGGAGTGTGTGCCTTGAAGTTAATTCCCCTTTTGGAACCTAGGATGAGTCAGGGCTTGCAGTACGATTAGAAAAGAGTGCACTGAACTCAACTGGATCCTGATGGGTCTTGGTCTCCCCATCCATTTTGAAGAGCATTCTACCCTGGGATCGTGCCTGTAGAACCTATGGTCAGCCCAGTACCAGCAGGGCAACCAGAGAGCAGACTCCTACTGACTAATGAGGAATTTCTTTTCTTTTTTTTTCTTTTGACTGTGTAATATGTAACTAGCATAATAGCGTTAACATGCTGATATGGAGAACTCAAATAGTCTATATCACAAGGGGCCCTGAAATAATAGTATTTGTCTGGGGCCTTACACCCTAGGTATATATGACAACTGGAGGGATGGACCATCTACATGTGATTAAATGAAAAATTGTAAATACTGTAAATGAAATATGGAAATGTGATTTGCTGATAGTAACACCCTAGAGGATTGTGATTGTTGTTGTTAAGTGCTTCTGAGTTGGTTCCAACTCATAGCTACCCTATATAGCGTTTCCAAGGAGCAGCTGGTGAGTTTGAACCGCTGACCTTACAGTTCAAACCAATATTGCAATCTTGTAGAAGAAAAATACGGTAATGGGGCTTTAGTATATTATTTGAAATTAATAGGAAAATATCAAAAGAAAACAAAGATGAGCTAGTGTAAACAATAGATGAAAAAGGAACTAATTAAAATGCCAACAGTGTTTTTCTCTGTGTGGTGGCCTTTTGAGTGATTTTATTTTCTTCTAACACAAATGAACAAAGCATTATTTAAAGGTTTGAAATGTTTAGTATCCTTTCTATTTCCCAGTTCTAAGCAGCCACTGTATTTCTGGAATGGGCCCAATATCCACATAAATTTCCATTCTTATTTACCAAATCACACATCTTAGTAGGTAGGGCTAGGTTAGCATAGAGAGAGGGAAAAGAGAAAGATTTAGGAGACCTTTAAGACAGAAAGAAAGGCCTTATGAATTATGTTTAAAAAACACTTCAGACATCCAACTCCTAAATGGAAGATAAGGTTATTTTAAAGCACTGCTCCTTTCAAGTTTTTTTTTTTTTTTTTTCTTTTCTTCCCTATCATGGATTGAAATATATGTGATTGAAATAGGGAGAAAGTCACATTCCAAGGTTTTACCTTGTCATTTGTCTTGAGAAAAGAATTTGCCGTGTTGTGCCATTGTCCATCAGTTTCTTTGAAAGTAACTAAACCCCCTTTGCTTTAACATCTAGACTGGTATTTCTGCGCATGGTACTCTTTTAGAAAAAAAACTATGGAGAAAGATTGAGAGATTTTATAATCTAAGAGATATCTTCATTTATAAGAAACATGATCCATGATTATACCTAATTATAATTTAATGATAAATACTAGGAGTCCTGGTACGCACCGTGGGTTAATGCATTGGACTGCAATGTCAATTTGAACCACAAGGTTGGTGGTTCAAGCTCAGCAGCTGCTCCTTGGAAACCCTATATAGGGTCACTATGGGTTAGAACTGACTTGATGACACTTAACAACAACAATAAGAAAAATGAGTGAGATAGCTTATATACTCCTGGGTCACCTATGCTGACTATTTTTACTTTTTTTCCCCCATTCATTGGTTCTCATAATCTGGACATCTCTCTTGATTATCTTTCTGCCTGTCTGTTTTTCGGTATTTTTCCGTCTCTGTGCCTTTACCTCTACCTTTCTCTTTCTTAGCAAGCTTTCAACTGAAACAACTGCAAACGTTCCATTTGAACTAAGTCATAGCTGAAAGACATCTCTAAAATGTTTTTCGTCTAACCTGTCAGTTCTGATCATAAAATCACAACACCCTTAAGAATTCCTTTCAATTCAAAAAGAATTTACTATAGGCCTACAGTATATAGCACATTGTCAGGACTGTTGGGTGATAACAGAGATGAGTAAAATCATCTTTCTACCCTCAAGGAATTTATAGACCCATGGGAAAATATACAATAAGCTTTAATAAAAAGCTTCAATTCATATTTCAGAAATGAATTAATTCCGCTTAAAACATTTCACACTGGACAGAGCCCTTTTACAGTTTTGCAGAAAACTAAAACACACAATGAACACTAAGCTCAATTTTCTAAGTCTTCCCTTCCTGGCAAGCAGTTTCACCAAACCCTTGTCCCTGGTAGCAGAGGTCTAAGGCATACATACAGGGATGTTCAGCAAGTATAGAATCGTACTCATCACAGGTGCGAATCCCATCAAAAGCATTCGTGACACACTCCCACCAGAGGCCGCGGCATTTTGTGCTCACCTGGATGTGAAGAAGACACCAAGTGAAACAATTCATGCAGACACACTTGAGTTCCCCTCGATCAAAAGGGGAACTTGGAGGCTGTGAGTTTGATAGCAAAGTGCACTGGTTACACGCGTGATCTGAATTTCATTTGCAACAAACAATGCATTTACAGTATTTCCCCTTAAGGTTTTCCCACCAGGAAATAAATCCACTTCCTGGTTGGGGTGGGGGTGGGGCAAAAATGAGTCCTGCCTCCTGGTGTGGCACTGTGGGCTAATGCGTCAGACTGCAAAGTCGTTTGAACTGCAAGGTTGGTGGTTCAAGCTTACCAGCTGCTCCTTAGACACCCAATAAAGCATCGCTATGGGTCAGAATCGACTTGATGACACTTAACAAAAACAAGATGGATAACATCAACACTAACTCTATTCAAATGCCAATGTCTGGTTGCTTCATTGAGTTCCACATGGAAACAAATCATTTTACTTCTCTATGCTGATATTTCCTCATCAAAAAATCAGTGTGCAACACAAGATAACTGTGGGCATCTTGCATCTATTAGGCATTTATATTAATTTTTCTCTTCATCATGAACACTGAGATCTGTGAAGAAAGATGTTATTTTATATTAATTTAAATTTTAAAATGATGCTTAAGAAAGCTATAAATAAATGAAATGTTAAGGCCCCAAGTCATCCTCCTCCCCTACTGAAATTCTTAAGCTACAACATGGATATAAACAAACTGAACATCAATTTCATACAGTCTGACACCTATAAACCACTTTTACTTGGAAATGCTGTGCAGATTCTAGAAGGTACCCGTGCCCTGAGCCTTCCCATGCTTGATCTTTACGTTACATATCACAATGCATTTCTCACTCAGAATGGTAAACACGCCATCAGAAGAGTTTCAAGTATTCTTGACAGAACGCATACAGATAGAACAGAGTAATTATGATGGTTTCCTCTGAATCAATTATGAATCCACATTATATTATTAATCTGAGACTGGTTTACAGAGCCTGATGTGGTTCTGTAGGATAAACACTGGACTGCTAACCATACGGTCGTCAGTTCAAACCTACCAGCCACTCTAAAGGAGAAAGATGGGGCTTTATGCTCCCATTGAGATTTATAGTCTCGGATACCCTGTATAGGGTCACTATGAGTTGGAATTAACCCGGGGGTAGTGGGTTGAGATGTGTTTAGTTTTTAGTTTAGTGACGTTTAACCAAGAATTATCTTGCAAAACATTTTTTTTCCCTTAAAGATGTAATGTGTAAAAGAGCAGGGGAGTAAGAGAAACCGGAAGGCACAAACTCATTGCCATAGACTCATGTCTTATACGTGGGATTTCTTCATAGCCTTTTTTTTGCTCTATAATCTTTATGGAAATAAGTTGCCAGGCCTTTATTACATAGTGCCATAGGATAGATTTGAACAGCCAACCTTTGGATTAGTAATTGAGCACAAACGATTTCAGCCATGTAGAAACCTAATATGAAGGCTGTTGTTGTGTGTCTTCCAGTCGATTCTGACTCATAGTGACCCTACAGGTTAGAGTAGAACTACCCCATGGGATTTCCTAGACAGCAATATTACAGGAGCAGACCTCTAGGTCTTTTCTCCCACCAAGTGGCTGGTGGGTTTGAACTGTCAACCTTTAAATTAGCAGCCAAGCAAGTAGCCATTTTTACAACCAGTAGGGTTATAATTGAGGTTCAGAAGAATCAAGGTAAATAAAAACACTTTGCTTTGAAAAAAAAAAAGAATTCCATCAGGAACTATATGCAGCATGAAACTTTGCCCCCATGTTGTGGTCTGTGCCAAAGAACCATTAACAATTTTGAATGTGATACTTCTATTCCTACTTGGTATATAAAATACTTATTACTGGTGGTGGTGGTTAGTTATGTGCTGTGGAATTGATTTCGACTTATAGTAATCCTATATAGGGTTTCTGAGGCTGTAAATCTTTACGGGAGCAGAAAGCCTCATCTTTCTCCTGTAGAAAGTTGGTATATTCAAACTGCTCACCTTGTGGTTAGCTATGCAACTCATAATCCACTATGCTACCAGAACTCCTTAAAATATGTATTAGTAATGATAAGTAATACTAAATTGAGTATGTTCAATTAATTAGGTAGCATTCTAGCATTATTCTCAGGGTCAGCACTGGACTTCAAACCATAAGACTGGCAGTACAAACCCACCAACTACTCCTCAGAAACCCTGTACATGGTCACTATTAGTTTGAACTGAATCGAAGACACTCAACAATTACAACAATGCTTTACAAAGACAGTATGAGAAAGATAACATTGTTATCACACATTTTGTGCTCCGTTAGAAAACATAAAAGGTTAAATGATATTTCCAATAAAATTTCAAGAAAATATTTAATAAATGGTGGTGATAGATTTTCAACACAGCGTTCTGAGTGTACACTCTTAGACATCACAGTATATTTAAAAACTCTACTGAAAATGCCAAATACATTTCAGGTTAAAATATTCTAGAACTGGACATAAAAAGATAAAGAAAGTCAGCCTACAGTTTGACCTCAAAGACATTACACTACTAATGTTAAATCCAGAAGTGATATGCTGGATTTAATGGAAAATTATCTGACCCCAGAGAACCACAGAGACCAAAAATTTAATGAGGAACATGTGTCTTGTGTAATTAACGCATCCATTTCTAAAGAAGGATGTGAACATCTAAATTTACATATATGTTCAATGTAAGTTATTGTGGAAAAACGTATAGACACAGATATAAATCAGCACAAATATGAACTGACACTGTGTTGTAACATTGGGAAAGACCTTACCTCTTTTGAGCCTCAATTTCCTTATTTGTATAAAGGAGATAAGAATAGGGTGGTTTTAAGAATTTAAAATTATAAACACACATACTATACAAATGAACTGTGATATTATTAAAGTGCTAAATGTCGTATAACCAGAGTAATGGCTTTGTGTCAACTTAGTAGCTAGAACTAAAGAAGAAGAAATTAGATGTACTGGGCTGAATGGTGGACCTCCCAAAAGTTATATTCACATCCTAATATCTGGAACCTATGTTGTTGTTGTTATTGTTAGGTGCCATCAAGTCGGCACCAACTCATAGTAACCCTATACACAACAAAATGAAACACTGTCTGGTTCTGAGCCAACCTCACAATTATTGCTATGCTTGAGCACATTGATGCAGCCATATTGCCAATCCATCTTGCTGGGGGTCTTCCTCTTTTTCTCTGACCCTCCACCACACCAAACATGACATCCTCCAGTGACTGGTCCCTCCTGACAATATGTCTGAGGTGTAAGAGACAAATCTGGCCGCCATAGCTTCCAAGGAGCACTCTGGCTGCACTTCTTCCAGTACAGATATGTTTGTTCTTATGGCAGTCCATGGTACTTACAATATTCTCCTCCAACACTATAACCCAAATGCGTCAATTCTTCTATGGTCTTCCTTATTCACTGTCCAACTTTCACATACAGATGAGGTTATTGAAAATACCATGGCTTGGGTCAGGTGTACCTTAATCCTCAAACTGACATCTTTGCTCTTCAATGCTTTAAAACAGTCTTGTGCAGCAGATTTGCCTAATGCAATATGTTGCTTGATTTTTTG